TACAGCCATCTTACATCTTTTCATCCTGTATTCATTGTATACAAGTGCCGCCATTCAGCGGACATTATAAGGACCGCTCTATCGGGTGTGTGCCACTGGTGGCTGCATACACCATCGGAAAATGGACATACCCACACCCTAAAAAACTTGGCCCCTAAAACGCTTAACACAACACAGGCAACACAGGCACGTACTCACGTGTACAACAACAACATTATTATTATTATTATTATTATTATTATTATTATTATTATTATTATTATTATTATTATTATTATTATTATTATTATTAGTATTATTATTATTAGTATTATTATTATTATTATCTGGGGTCTTACACCCAAAACTACACTCACCTTATGAGAGACGACGCCCGAGTGGAGAGCTCCAAAAGTTGCTACAATCTGATGCCTAATGTGCATTGACATTGCAGCACACGGGCCTCTCGCCTTCCACGGCCGCGAACGAACCCATGACCTTCTGGACAGCACGCTACCGCAACGGACCAGTGCACGCACAATCCGTCACAGTCCGTTACCATTGCGTGGTACTCGACATCTCTGTCAAATCCGCTCGTCCAAGTTCATATTTCTTAAAAGCCTCAGTGGTTCTTTCGTCACCTCTCGCAGCGTTGTCTTCCGTCGACGAAATGTAGGAGTGGTTCCGACCTGCATTTGTCTACTGTCGAGGGTTGGGAGAAGCGTTTGAAGGGCAGCCTTTGAAAATAAGTAGACTTAAAAGTATAAAGAAGCGTGATTCGTGCTTCAGCCGATGCCTCCAAGCTCACTGCTGGCGCCGTACGTGCGACACGGTTTTCACTGGCCTGTTTCTGTCGCCATTGAAATGGACGATGTCTGTTTCACTGCGCCACTTGTACGTACACTGATTTCGATAAGCCGGCATCGATGAAGTAACGATCACACTTTCGTAGTGTCGCACCTCGATGACAATCTACTTTCCCGGCAGCACATTTTAGAAGGCTGAAATTATCGAGCGTGCCAATAAAAATGATGAAGGCGGCTACGTTTCTACAAGTACCCCATCATGTTGAACGACTATGACGCTCTTTCCCTGTGGGCTTATGTGTGTGAGAGAGAGAAACAAGAAAAAAAAAGGAAGACAGGGAGGTTAACCAGATACTAGTATCCGGTATGCTACCCTACACTGGGGTTGGGGATTAGGTGGTTAAAAGAGAGAGGGGTAAAAAATAAATAAGAGCAAAACACGGACACACACGCACACACAAAATCAATCGTGTGAGCGTGCTTGCGTGTGTATGTGGATGTGTGTGCAGGAGTATGAGTATGCGTGCATATGTGCGTGCCTGTGTGTGTATGAGTGTGTGCATGAGTGTGTGGGAGTGTACATATGTGCGTATGTGCGCGTGTCTGTGCATGTGTGTATGTGTATGTGCGCGACTTTGTGTGGGGCATGTATGTGTATGTGTGTGCGTTTGTGTATGTGCGTGCGTGAGTGAGTGAGTGAGTGAGTCTTCATAACTTTTGAGGCATTACATCCTGAAATCACTCTATGGTTATGAGCAACGCTGCAGTGGAAGGTTCCGGAAATTTTGACCAACTAGTAGATAAATACAACTTTAACATTCCGCCTCAATCGGAATGAGTCCGCCGCAGCCAGGATTGCTGGTTCGGATAACGTTCAGGTCAGCAGTCGGCCACGAAGACAACTATAGACCGAGACTGCGGGTTGCATGTGTATGCGTGCCATGCCTTTCCTTTAATCATAATCTCTTTCTGCCTGATGTCAATTTATTATACACGTGCGGCGAGCTCCTTGAATCGGCATATAAAAGCCGAAGATGGATGCCACTAGGAGACTTATTAGTCTCGTGGTCATGGGATTGTGCCTGGAATCACCATTTCGGATAAGCGCGAGAGTGCACCACGAGAGCGTGCTTCTCGGCGATCGCATGCCGCGTTTCAGCCACAACACCTATTGAAGATCGTGTGCAGGTGTGGACGACCAGGGTCCGGAGAACCACGTTCGCTTATGAGTGTTTTTTTTTTTTGGAAACGGAGAAATCACAGCAATGAAATTGTGAACGCGGAGCGTTCGGTATTCTTAAACATGAAGGCTTCATTCATGCCGCTAAGAAACCCTAATTGCCTTATGAATGTTTTAAAATATTCATACTAATGGTATTCATCTATTTAGCATGGCCACAAAAAATAATTTGGTATGAGTGCTACTCCAAGCACACTGCAAGAAAGGAATATTTAAAAATAAAGGCATATAAGTGCTTCGACACGAAGTAATATACAGAGGAAAAACAAGACAAAGAAAGCGTCACACTAAAGAACAAACCATTTGCAGAAAAAAGTTTTTGAAGCTGGCACTAAGCCGTGCAAGGCTTGACACGACCACGCTTGACGATTACGAAGACTATCATCTGGTTGTTTCTAGGCTGCTGATAGGCTTTAACTAGAACATACTGAGTTGTTTTCCCCGTTGATTTTCAGCGCATAGACGTCTTTAGTGAAACCACAGTCGGTCACAGACACGACAAGGTTGTCCCAACTCCACACAGAAACATGCGCTGAAGGCGAGCGCTCGCACCTCTTATAGATTTACGGGCACGTCGCCGTTGACGCAGGCCTTCGATTGTTTCGGGTTCTTCAAACAGCAGCCACAGTTGTCTTCCCGGTTCCCTAGTATGTTCCCGTGGTAGGTACACGAGGTCTCCGGCTCGCCGCAGTCGTTTCGCAGCCATTCACTGAGTTCACTGTTGCCTTCTTACTTTCTATTGAACCAGTGATATCAGAGGGAGATTTATTTTATTTTATTTTATTTATTTGTACATACTGCAGACCCTAATCGGGCCCATGCAGGGGTGGATACATAGAAGTAACATGAGGTATAATAACGCTCCACAAAAAGAAAAGAAAGAAAGTATTGATACACATAGGATACTTCATGATTCACATGTATACATTTTTAGAAAAATCAATCTCTTCCAGACAGTTGACAAAAGATTCCAGCGTAGAAATATTCACAGCATTGACTGGCAGCCTATTCCAAAAACTAATGGCCATTGAGAATAAAGAATACTTATGTGTATTGACATGGCTAGCAGGTTGAAAGATGACCTTATTATGGTTTGTCCTGAGTGAGTGTTTAAATAGGTCCTGTAAGTACAGATTGCGCGGTATCTTAAAATGACCATGATAGAGTAAGTATAGGAACTTTAACCTGGAAATTATTCTTCGTTTGGAAAGTGGTTGAAGATTCGCTCTATTAATTAGGTCATTGACGCTTGAATGCCGCGAATAATTAGAGTAGATAAACCAGTGCAGCTAATTTCTGAATGCGTTCAATTTTGTCTATTATGTGTTGTTGGTGGGGACTCCATATTATGTCGGCATATTCTAAGGCAGGGCAAATAAGAGTCTTGTATGCATTTAATTTGACTTGGGCCGGAGCATTTCGCAACCTTCTTCTAAGAAAGGATAGCTTCCCTATCGCTTTTTTGCAGACGGTGTCGATATGAGGTTCCCAACTTAAGCTTGCTGAAAGCGTGACACCAGGGTATTTCACCTGATCACATTTAGGGAGTTCAATATTTTCAAAAGTGTACGAAAAATTAAGCGGATTCTTCCTATTAGTGAATGTGAGACATTTAGTTTTAGATGCGTTCAGTCTCATGCCCCATTTCTGGCACCAAGCGCAAATATTTTTTAGAGAGTTATTCAAGCCGATTTGGTCCTCTAAATGTCTTACAACTGTATAGACGACACAATCATCTGCGAAAAGCCGCATCTAGATTGGTGACTGGATACAAAATTGGATATCATTGATATAAATAAGAAATAGTAGAGGCGCAAGGACTGAACCCTGCGGTACTTTCGAGTACACATGGAGGCTATCGGACATATCCGTGTTTACGGCTACACGATGTGTTCTGTTCGTTAAGAAGCTGGAAATCCACGAGATTAAGGTGTCATCAATACCAAAAGCATGTAGCTTTGTGAAAATCATGTGGGACCACGTCAAACGCTTTTGAGAAGTCTAAAAAAATGGCATCAATCTGACTGTTGGTATTAACAGCGTTGGCGAGGTCATTAGTTATTTCAGCCGGCTGTGTTAGTGTTCACAACCCAGATCTGAATCCATGTTGTTGGTTAGAAATAAGGTTATTTCTTTCTAGATGACTGATAATAGATTTAAAAATTATGTGTTCCATCACCTTACAACACGTGCTTGTTATTGATACAGGTCTGTAGTTGCTTGGTTTAAATTTAGAGCCAGACTTTATTATTGGAATTATTTGTGCCGTGCGCCAGTCATCAGGAATACTCGAGGTATCCAAAGACACCTTAAATATTATAAGTATATATAATTGAATATAAGTAAATAAGTATTATAAGTAAATCAATGCGCAATTGCTTTGGCACATGCTGGTTTGTGATGATGATGGTTTTCTGCTAGGCCGCCCAGTGATACACACCAATCAAGATGATGACACTTTTCTGCGACCCACTGACAAATAACAGTTGGCTAAACCAATTCACTATTATAGGTCGTGAGGATAATGAACGTGCCCTGCGTGGTAGCTACGTGACTATAATGGGTCGTGCTGCTTTGTTTCTGGACGCAGTTTCGACGCCCTGCGATGGCCGCTGCATTTCGATGGGCCTGAAGTGCGAAAACGCACCCCACCTAATTATAAAAGCACGTCAAATAATTCAAAATTCTTCAAGTTAATCCGGAATACTCACTAATACATATTCGCTTTGTCTCATCAAACCGCATAATATAGTGTTGCGTCTGAGAGCAGACACGGAGGTGAAAGAATTCTTTTAAAAAAAAGTCTAAACCACATGTTTCTATCATTGTGTCACGTGGAAGTGCAAAACTGCGCAATTTTCATTTGCCCTGTTTCTCCATTACAGGGTATGAACAGCCAAGCAGGACATGGACCACACTACCCTACGCGATTGCACTACTCCAACAGAAAAGATTTTCGCTGTCCTCGGCAGAAGAAACGCAAAATGAATGTGCCGTATTTACACAGTGGTATTGCCACAGGCACTGCTCAAATCACGTTCGATCGCTAACGAGCTATCCTGGTGATGAACTGGGCTTCGTAGACAGACCTCAATCGCTACATTACGTTATTGGTTGGTGCAATCACATTATAATCTCGGGATGACTGAAACGGACTCCTTTAACGCATCTTTGAATACACTGCCAGATGAAAGTGACCTATACGGCAATGAGACTGCACTTTTGAACGACACCGACGTCCTAGTACCTGATGAACTTTTGGGCCCTCGATACCACAAGAGGGTCCGCATCGGCATCATCATAACCATGATCATAGTTTCGACCATTGGAAACAGCGTCGTCTGCTGCAATCTGCTGGTGAGGCAGCGCCACCGCAGAGTGTCCAAGGCCAGAGTGCTGTTTCTCAATCTGGCCATCGCTGACCTGCTGGTTGCCTGCATAACAATGACATCACAGGTAGTGTGGGAGGTGATGGGTCGCATTTGGATTGCGGGGGACGCGTTCTGCCGCTTCTTCAAGTTTCTGCAGACGTTCGCCCTGGTCTCGTCGACCTACATGCTCGTGGCCATTGCCGTGGACAGGCACATCGCGATTGCCACTCCCCTCGCACCCAGTCCGGATCCGTGGAAGTTTGCTATTGTCACCTGGATTGCGGCGTGCATGCCTTCGCTGCCGAACGTGTACGTCTTTCACAGTGTTGAGGTGGCTCCAGGAAGGTGCTTCTGCGCGTCCATTTTCTACGACCGGGGCACTCCGCTGTACCACCGCCAGATTTACATGGGATTCGTCTTCTTCATGGTGTTCATCGCCCCACTCGTGCTGCTCATAGCGTTTCACACTGGTATACTGTGGGCTCTGTGGAAGCACAACGCGACTAGTCGGAGAGTGAGCTGCCAAACCACTTCGTCACTTTCCCGTGCCAAGGTTTGTGTCGGAATACTTACTTGGCCCTGTCATGCCTCATCAAAAAGTAGGGCACTGAATCAAACACGAATCGAAAAGTGACGACAGCGAATCGAATAACAAAGTAATCGACTACTTTCAAAAAAGATTTCGCATAGTAAGTAGACCATTTCTAAAACAGTCTTAGAACACTGCAACATTTTTATTTGAAACAAATATTCCCAAACATTCACCAAAACTATTGCAATTAGTTTTAATAGGTACAAAATGCCACAATTACCAAAAGAAAAATAGGCTCGTATGAAGCAGGAACTAGAGCCTTCGTAATAGTTTGTAACTGTAGGTTCAAATACAAGATTCATTTAAGTAACGAATTCGAGACTCTTGCCTGATTTTCAATAACATTTGGACCCACCAACTAAACAATTTTCAGTCAAACACCAAGAATATAGCTAGGGATGTGATGAAGCATATCAACTTATTATCACAACATGGCCTGAACACCAAAAGCATGTAACAATCGGCTTTGAAATCGACACCTGCAAAAACATTCACACAGACACACTCCCATCTGTTGTCAGTCATGAAGCTTCAAGCAGTCGTATTACCCACCTTCAGATGAAGACAGCAGCTGATCAATGTGATACAGCTTCAGCATAGTAAAAAGTGAGCAAAGTTGGAGTTTTCAGAAGAAACACATTCATCCGGCAAACAGCTGAGTATCGGTTGTCTCGTAAAACCTTGGGCTCTGTACAGATAGCTTTAGGAATTAAAAGAAGAAGAATGGCCTTAAGCTGTTTCAAAGTTTGATTGTGTTGGGGCTCTTCTGTCAGTGCTGATTATTCAAAAAAACCCTATCGATTGTTGACTCATTTGTCTGTACTTCCCTTTCACGCATTCAGGTCAAGACACTGAAGATGACGGCCGTAGTTTTCGGCGCTTTCCTAGTGACCAACGTGCCGTACATGGTCCAGGAGGCGATCCTGGCCTTCGGCAACCCCGGCATACTAGATGCCAACGTGGTCGCGCTGTTCGGCGTCATATCTGCCTCGAACAGTGCCATTAATCCGTACATATTCCTGTACTTCCAACGAGTGCGTAAAAGCGCCGCAGACAGTGGATTCTGGCAAACCGTGTGGCACGTTGTGGTTGAATCGTTCACGTGTCGCCTGCTGAGTCGGTCCCAGTCGAGTTCCCAGTTCTCGACTGACGCGGCGGACGCCTGCTCACCGACGCGACGTTCCACAAAGCCCACCACGAGTAGAGGGAAAGAAGAGCGGCGCGCCTCAAGAAAAAGATGTGCAAACTGTTGATCGCTCGTACATAGGCGTGTTTGTATACTTTGACCAGCCATATTGAGCAGCCATAACGGCGTACCCTGTGTTACTTCGTAATCTGTCTCATTGCTAATTGTGTCTCTACACACACGACGGACTTGATGAGAACTTCGAGATGCCAAAGACGCCTACTTATTTCGGCTGGTACATCATCCCAGCTTGAGCATTCACTGTTATAACTCATTAAACGGTGCTTTTTCTAGACCACAAAGTACGAATTGTGACGAAGAACAGTCCAACAGTTCTGGAAGACTGTTGCGTTTATTTCAATTTCCTGGTGCTTTCGGCACGTACAGTAACGACTATTTCTGTGATGTTGTTCATGTGCTATGTATTCAGAAAGTAACGTTATTTTTTATTGCCTGAATGTCACTGATGTGGCTTTTTTTTAATATAGCTTCACTACAGTTCTACGCTACAAGCGAAGTCAATGTGTAAACAATGCATGAAAAGTGGCCGCGCAGAGTTTGTACATTGAACATAGCTTTGTACAGTTTGGTTTTCTTATTACAAAGCTGTGTGTATGGCCGAAAAATGCTCTCACACTGGTAATGCAAAACGTAGGTAATGCAACAGTGGCACGTCCAAATTTATGGGCAGTAAACTACCTGCATTAAAAGGAAGAAAACTAAAAGAACAGTAAAGATATTGTGGATTACAAAATTTTAGGTTTTGTGAAATTGCAAGAGATCATTTAAAGTGCCCTTTGCAGGTATCAATGTGAATTTATAATATTATGACCATGTAATTGCTGTTACAGACCTATAAGTACCAAAAGCCGTATAACATTTTATGTATTTTTGAAAGCTGTCTGATTTTATGTAAAAGTAAAATCACAGGCGTGATAGCAACAACAATAATAGTAAAAGCTAATAGGAAATAATGCCAATGGAGCATATGGGATGTCATTTGTAATAAATGTAATGTAAATGTGAGGAAAGAAAAGCCGTTGAAAAGATAACTCGCCGTGGGCAGTGACAGAACCTAATTCTTTTGAATCACGCAGGTAGCAGGTTCATAAAGAAAAAAACATTTGGTACTGATTTAATAAACATGTCTGCGAACATTTTTCAAACGCAGTGTAATGATGTGTAAAACCACTTCATTTTGCATACGTTTCAGTGCAAAAATAAACTCGCAGGTGTCATTGTCTACCTGTTACTCCTCCATGCGTGCCATCTTGGCGTGGTTTATACATTAGTGAAATGAAAATAAGTAGCATTTGAATCAAGACACGGTAAAACAAAAACAAAAAAATACCACGGCACTGACACTCAACGGTGATTGCAACTAAACTACCATATCCAGGAACCCATATCGACATCTTCGCAAGCTGCTGAATGAAGTATCTTTTTATTTCTTTGTGTGATAGGAAAATGAGAAACAAATAAGGAGAGGTGGATATAGAAAGAGCATAGCTCACCCATATGAAAGGCCTCTCGAAACAGGAGCACGACAATTATCTCCCCCCCCCCCCCCGCGAAGCTTATCGATCGCACGCTGTCATAACTACATATTTTTTTTTCGTGTTTTTTACAGTAACTTGAAAGCTTAAAAGCGCGGGTTACTACATTCTTAAAGCGCCTATACAGCATTTTATTTTTATTCTTCAAAACTGAAACACTTTCTATGTAATCTTCATACAGAGTTACAAATCAATGATAATAACATGAGTATGTGGTTTGACTAGTGCCCTCTTGCGCATATTTTACACATTTTTAGTTTTCTCCCTGATTGAGGGGCCATTAAGTTCCGAAACCTGTTTCAAATAGTTGGCATCATGCAAAAGTGTCACGTTTAAAGAAATATCTGACCACTAAAAAGCCCGTGCTTGCAGTGCCAGAAGAGTCCACCGATATTTGACGAAGGCGAAGGGCGTGGCTCGTTACTGCTCCATTGTTCGAATTTGCTGTTATCGTGCTGTCCCCTTATGAGCAATAAAAAGACGCCGAATGTTGCGTGGGGAAATCTGTGTGTACTTTAATTACAGGCAAGGTTACCCCAGATTGATTGACGAATCATGTAAACAGGTGAGAGCGCAGATGCCACTTTGTCAGCATTTCTTTTCACCGTGACAGCACATGACCTACTACCGCCTCAGCGATTGGTGCCCAAGTCATTTAAACTGCCCTGCATGAAGTTGTGGGTTAGAGTTCTTTCAGCACACCAATTGTAGAACCGTTTTAGTGTACGTCGGACTATCACTATCGGCTGATGCAGTGGTTCCCAAAAGGCGGTACGCGAAACAGTTGTTGGAAGTTCATGAAACAACACATCCTGTAAGATACGGTTCATCCCTCCGTCGTAGGAATTGTTATAACTCCAAATTTAACCGTGTCTCCTCAGGAGTAGTTGACTCTTTATTGTGCCACACTTATGCACTGGTGCTTGCCCAATGCCTGCCTAGTGGTGCTCGACAGCGTCAACTTCCTTGTATACGCCCCGTTGCGGTGGTCTAGTGGCTAAGGTTCTCGGCTGCTGACCCGCAAGTAGCGGGATCAAATCCCGGCTACGACGGCTGCGTTTTAGATGGAGAGTAAATGATGTAGGCCCGTGCGCTCAGATTTGGGTGTGTGTTAAAGAAGCCCGGGTGGTTGAAATTTCTGGAGTCCTCCACTACGGCGTCTCTCATATTCATAGGGTTGTTTTGGGACGTTAAACTCTACATATCAATTGACCTTGACTTCTCACCCTTTTCACGAAGGGGAACCCTGCGCACGCCCATTCGAAACCTCCGCTGGGCTGAAAGAAACCGAAGTCATCCCTGTAAGCACTTGTTTCTGTCGTAATGCAGCACTTTGTACTTCAGCAATTCTAGACGGCCACACCACCTCATTTACAAAAATCACTGCAAGAGATAGTAGTGAGAGGTACAGGGCGCTTGTGAATCTTCGTGCATGTGTATCAGCGTGGTTGATGCGTCGGGCGCCTTTCAATCTGGTGCATTCATGAGCGTTTTTTTTATTTCTTATATGCATATAAAATACCGAGGGAGTTTAACGACTACATTTTGTTTTCCAAGCTGTATTGAGGCGTCAGCCGATGCCTCTGCATATCCCCGTCCCGCCAGTCCTCTGGTATTCAGATGCTTGAAGTTAGCCAGGCGTTTTGGTAAGAACCAATCATTTTCGATCTGCAACTACGGATCTGCAATCTATAGAAGCCTTACCTGCCTCTAGGATTAATGTTTCTACTGACTGATTGGCATAAATGATAGTGAACTAGAGCATAACTAGTTCACTACAGCTGGAATGTTCTACTCTTACCTCTGTCTCTGGCAATTACTCCACCTATTCAACATATTATTTATGGAAGCGTGCGCAAAATATAGGTAGTTCTTTGTTGCAATACGCTTATGGCTTGAGCATCAAGAACGAGCAGCAAAAACTGCTTTATTTGTATGTTATTGTTGATTCAAGGCAATATCGGTCCTCATTGTTAAATGATAATTGTTTTAATAATACTACCATTACATCTTTTGGCTGAAATGCCATGGCACCTTTGACTATTAACAGCCTGATGTTTTGCTACATCTCATTATACCCAACGGCAGCACTGTTTCTGTGTCTAAACATCTGCAGTTCCCTTCGCTCACAACGTTTCATCAGTTAGAAACATTTTAAACATCTATAGCTTTCTCCGCTAGCTTGCAAAGGCTGTCAACCAACGACATCTCGTGTTTGGATTATTCAAGATCACGCGAATCCTTTTTTTTCTTTTTTTTCTTGCCTTTACGATGCGTGGAAGGTATCTAAACGGTTATGTAGAAAATATGAAGAGGGTCTGTGAAATGGGCAGAAAAAAGAAGTGCAAGAACCAAAGGCACAGTCATTTTTTGGGTGGGTTCAAAAGACTGATCGATAACACGGATGATGGATTGTCTTTTATTCACAGATGCGTTGGGGTTGAAAAGCAATTTAAATAGAGCGCAAGACCTTGGGGACTGCCTAGACGTATCCTATACCGTAGCTCGATTTTTTTTATCCGCTTTCCCACAGAAAAAAAACCGCCAGTCCTACAGCTGCACAAACTTCTTTTCAGTGGGGCAGCGGGACGAGATGATTCACTTCATTCAGAGCCTGAGATCAATAGCTGACGTCACTGCAGTTGTCGTGGAGAACAATGAGAGAAGTCCCTGGTTTTACTCAGCTTGAAACTAAGTAGAGAGATTGTGCCATCAACTGACAAACGTGCACCGCTACAACATTACGTTGGTGGTGTTTTAGCTGGGCGGGAAATACTTTCATCGACCTGAAACGACAGTTTTTTTTTTTTCGAAAGTACCGGGAGATCTTAAAACGGTGCTCTGTCTAAAACGCAGACGATCTTGTTCCGACAGCAGTTTCAGGGTATATACAATCACATTAGGTCTGGCAGCAGGCGGAATATTCAAACCGCACTGGAAACTCGTTCGTTTTGTCGCATAAGCCTTCGGAAAGCAACGCGGCGAGCCAGATCGTTGTCGAAGTGATTTATTAGACAAGAACAAAACAGGAACGTATTATCGCTTTACTAGAAGCTGCACTCTGTTGGTACTGGAGTTTAAAAGTGTGCTGTCACGTATTGAAAACGGAGACAAAAGAGTAGGCGATAATTTTTTAAAGTTCAAGCCCATGCCTCAAGCAGCGGGTGAACTTAAGCTTGATCATCATTTATTTTTCTTTAAGGGCTCCTGACGGGGTATTACATAAAGAAGAGGGGTCAAACAAGGATACACAAAGGAGATTCCAGACCAAGAACGTAAGCTAGGTTAAAATTCAAGAATTGGAACTACAGGGCAATAATAAAAACAGAACTCGTTATACAACTAACAGCATGATTAAAAAATGAGAGAAAGGCAACTGGCAACACACATATTACGATGGTGCGGTTGTAAAATAAGTTTAGAGTAAGGTTTTAAACTTCGCAGCATTTCGTTTGTTGGCTACTGCATTTGGAAGCTGATTCCAATCCTAAATCGTTAACGGGAGGATATA